TATGAAAAGTGTTTATAGCCTAAATTGATTGGGTCTAGGGGATAACACTTACGCAGAAAAGGAGCAGTAGCCCGCAGTGGATCTTCGGTCATTGATTGAGCCTGCACAATCTGCATTAGAGCAGGCTTCCATAAGGAGATGGTCATTCTTCTTGAAAAACACGCCCTTACACGGTATTGCCTTTATATATAGCTTAAAAACCTTTTGCCGCCTGCCTCCACATGACACACTGATGGTGAGTGTGTAAACTAACACTAACAACATGGGCTATATCCGGTCGATTACAAGATAAGTGGATTAGTCTTTCACAATCACAAGTCTTTAGCACCTGTCCATGTCCACCGGCACTCCTATCTCTGCTCCTAGCTTGTGATTGGGATTTAAAGATGTGGCGGCAAGCTTGCATCCTGTCGTTCCAGTTTCTTTTAAAAGATCGAGGATATATTTCCTTTGGCATACAATTATACCATATTTTTTCCGAGCTACATCCATACTAAAAAACATTTGCCACAAATAAATTTACAATAACTGAACTTTTATTCCAATAAATGTAGAGATCGATTATGCCACAACTCAATCTATAAATCATTAATTAGGCAGCAGTACATATCTGGTTCATTTAAGGATGAGAATACATCCACAAGAATGGCAAAAATACCATTACCTATACAGCATAAACATTAGAATTTCATCCTATACCATTGTGCAAAATTAGTAGACCAACAAAGCATGCTCTAGAATGCCAGCCCTTTGTTGGGGTTTGCGGTCAGGGCTGAACACCACCAAGCAGCAGGGAAAACTGGATCAGAGAAAGCTATAAGCTCTAACATACTCATCCAAAGCCTATTATGAACTTTGTTATCCCCAAATTCATCAGCTACATGAAAACATTGCATTTACGAAGATACTAAAACCATAATAATTCATATATAACAAACACCACTCTGGCCTGTCGGATAAGTACACTTGCGCAATACAGTTGAATCGATGCCTACCCAAAAGGTATCCTACGAGAAGACGAAACGCAACAATAAATCATCTGTTCAGTAACTTCACAACCTGCAATTAATCAAAAGTCTAGAAATGTACACAGCCAAAGCCAGTAAACGCAAAACCCAAGACAACATCATATAATCCCCTTAAACCAAAACAATGTAAAACTAGGAAGGATGCCATCTAATCCTTGGAGGATTTGTTGGTGAGAGACTTGTGTATATGAGGGATTACTCTACCACCAGCTATGGTTCCTTTTATAAGAGTGTCAAGTTCTTCATCACCACGTATAGCCAGCTGCAAATGCCTTGGGATAATACGTTTTACCTTCAAATCCTTGCTCGCATTACCTGCCAACTCAAACACTTCTGCCAGCTGTAAATGCCTTGGGATAATACGTTAATTACTCTAAAATAGCTGCAGAATAGACAGCAGTCGTCGCACCCACTCTTCCTTGAGCAGTAACTCTCGACTTCAGGAGTCGATGGATGCGGCCTACAGGGAACTGCAGGAAAAAGAGTAATTAGTTGATCTATTGTCTAAGGCTCAGCACATGAAAATCTGTGACAATCAAAATAAATTTAAGCTAATTCATCAGATATTTACTACTCAAACGCAATTTTTTTTTGGCATAAAGTGGTCAATGAGGTGTTAACATAGGGACACCAATAGCATATATGGGATACTCCCACAATACTAACTATGAAGTCTAATCTGTAAAGAATTTTACGCTGCAAGGTTTTTGAGATTTTTGAACACACATCCATTGTATTGATGGTAAGATTATATACAGACTTTGACTCAGCTATGTAAGGAAATTTACAAAGTTAATGGCTGGACATTACAGAGATTTACAGCAAAATTTAATACCAACCGTTACAATATTACAACCAGAATATTTACAGTAAATTAGGATATTGAGCTGGTCCTTGAATCTTGTCTGGCGCATGTCATGGAGCATCTTTAGTTTCTTCCTTGATATAATCTAGGGTAGACCAACCTAGAAGGGGGTTAAATAGGTTGCAGGGATAAATTTTAAATTTTATCCACTACGTTTTGGCAATTTTGCTAATGTTCTGTTAAATTGTTAATGTTAGACATGTCTGATGTCTAACACTGTTAAAAATGTTGCAGAAGCAATTGAACATTTAACTTTTTGATTCATTTATTGAATTAAGTTTGAAGATAGCTTTTCATAACTAGAGCGACAAGCCTTTCGATTAAAGTATATGTTGGACAACACAACACAGTATTACTGCACAGGGAAGCATTGATACCAGCCTTCACTCATAGCAGTGAAGTATGACACTCTTACTAGGGTAACGTGTCCATGTCCGACACAATGTGTGATTTGCCATATTTTTCATATACCTTTTAAATTTCTATAACACTCCAGCAATAAATTTCATATTCGCATCAAGGACAAGGAAAGTCCAATTTTTTAAATTAAGAATACAAAGTGAAAGAAATCTTTAATTGCTAGAGCATCTGTCTAAAATGTTAAACAAATCAAATTGTGATTGATTCCAAGTTGGTATCTTACCATACATAAGCATTCTACCTAAATTGGAGATATTGATTCCTTCCTTTAGGGATTGTATAGGGACTTGTATATATATACCTATCATTGTAAAAGATGGAATTAAGTGAATGAAATATTGATTTGAACTTGGTATCAGAGCAAGGTTATTAATCGGCCAATAGTTCGAAAGAAAACCAAAAAAAAAAAAACCTTTGCACACTTCGAATTTTTTCCAGATTTGTGCGACCTCCACGAAAACGGATGTATCTTTCAAACCGTAACTCGAAATTGCACAAGGTCGGTGCCGTTGGATTCGTATCATTCGTATCTAGCTAATGCATTTTTTATTTATTTTTGTGTGTTTGACATTCTTTTTGTACTTGATGCATTCATACTTTAAAAATAAAAACAACAAAAATTTGAAAAACAAAAAAAGGGAATGATAACTTTATTATATGACTTTCTTATACTTTCATGTTGTAATCATGTATGGACATAATTGATAAGCTGTAACATAGTTTTCATTACTTGTTTGGGTTATTATGAAGTATTTAGTAAATTGTTTTCATGTACCATATGCACTGCACATACTATGATTTTGTTAAGTGGGACTCTATCGCGTGTGTGAGATTTAGGATGGTAGTCACATGCTAGTAAGGTGACTTTGAACATGAATTGACCATATTTATTTAACCAAAGCTCAAATTTATCCTCGGTAATAAAATGCTCAATATCTTATGTTACTCTTTGAAGCCTATTTGATTCGATCAATTAAGCACGCGGGGTTTCTCATAACCTGGTCCGTACAGTCAACTGACTTGGATTAACTGGCCTAAAACTTGTTATACAGTTTACTTTAGTCGCTTAATGAAGAAGAACTTGCACTGAAAAAAATATATGAGCTTAAAATAAAATATATGCAAAGTTAGGGGGAGAAAAGAAAATGTCAATATAAAATGAGCTTTTATTTAAAAGGTTCTAATGTACTTTAAATGTTTTGACTTTCATAAGTAGATGAATATACTTATGGACAGTGATGTTTAGCATATCACTTCTCACAAAATTAAAGCTTAGATCTCTACTTCTAGTGGATTAGTGACATTTTACACACATGAGTCACTTATACAATTTACTCCATTTTCACTTAAATTGAGTAAGTGGGGACGTTTACTACTTGTTAATTATGCTTGTGTATGTTATCAAATATTTTTTGGACTGTTATATATTCATGTTTAAGATTGGGTTTGAAATTGCACCTTTAGTCATTTGTGACAAAAAGGGGGTGAGAGAGAATATACACAGGGGAAGCATTTTTTTCGAGGATCGTTGGGGAGAAATATAGATATATTTGCCTACTGCATAAAAATATTAAGAGTTTGCAGTAAGGGGGAGAGTGTGCATTGCATCTGCAGTGTATATCATATGCATAGTTGTTTGAGTTTTTGATGTTTTGTGATGTTAATGTTCCGGTTGGTGTTTTGATTGACATTAATGCCACGTCTCAAACTAGCATGCTTATTTGTGATTATGATTTCTTGTATCACGTGCTTTTATACTGAGTATTGAGTTTTTGATTTCAGGAAACATTTATACCAAGGAATGCAAGAAGTAGAAGAACTTGAGTTATTTGGGCAATTTAATTTGATAGGTTGATTATTTTACTACCTTGACTTTATTTGTATAATTTTGTCACAGAATATCAAAGGGAAAGATTGTTAGGTTCAAAGTTGTAATTGGCAATTCTGTAAACAAATAGGACTTAATTGAACATGTGTAATAGTTAAGGAGTGAAGTGCAATTTTGTATAGTTGAGTTAGGTAACTTAGGTTTCAAGTTCGAGTTTGGAAACAAGGAAAAAACTGAATTTCGCTAGTTTCACACCTGGCCATAGATCGAGCGAAGGGTCTGTCGACGACACTTGGACGAGAGTTTTACACAGCCCATACTACTCATACACCTCCAACTATAAATACAGAGGGTCTTGCACGAAAATCAAAAGTTGCTTCATTGTGCTTTCATTGCATAACACATCTACTTAATCTTTTGAGAGATTCCAGAACACAATTCATTGATTGATTCATCCATATCATTCTTGAGATCCGGTAACCAAGTTTTGGGAAAACATCAAGGTTCGTAAATCCAAAACACCTGACTTCCTTAACACTTTGAGAAATTTACTTTCTCAATTGGACTTCAGAAGTTTCTAGAGATTGAGAGAGGTTGGACTACAAGCACAGGAAGAAGAATGAGAATAGGTCATTCTTGGGTATCAACTTAGAAGAGACAATTAAAAAAGATCGGGAGTCTGAAATTTACAGCGGATCTTGGAAGGAACATGAAGTAGATCGGAAGATATGGCATGTTGGCTAGATAGTATCTACGGTGGCAAATCGTGAGTTTGGAGGAACATCATATCTTGGAGATTACAGAAATTACAACAGCGGGAACTAATAAAATTTGCTAGGCTGAAAACGGATTATAATCCATATTGTCTATAGTAAAGGTAACTAGCTTGGTCCCGAAGTTTTTATCCCCGTCATCAATATTGGTTTTCTTTATTACTTTTCATATTACAAACTGTGGCAATTCAATTTAGGATAATTGGATTCTTTGTTTAACCATCTAGAAACAATTAAAAATGATTTTTTGCTTGTTAATTATATAATTCTGCACATAAAGTCGAACTTAGTGAGTAAACCGAACTTTCAGTATTTTGATCACATTCCATTCATTTTTGAGTTCTAATTCCATCCATTTTTTTCCTACCAATTTTCAAAATATCGTCTTGTGGTTCAAATAAATATTTATAATTTGGTTCTCAAACTTTGGACTTTGCCATTTTTTTTTTGGTTCTTTTCATTCATCATTCAACCATAGAGTTTTACCTTTACAACATAAAATACAATAATTTATGATATATTTTGTCAAAAGAACTACTAAATATCAATATTTTAGGCACCCGAATAAGTGTACAAAATACTCTTATCAAATACCCACAAACTTAAACATTGTTTGTACTCAAACAAAATTATAACCTAAATAAAGACAAACAAACATGAATCTAGCTTTTTTCTCAGTATTTGAAATTACAGTATTAAATCTACAAACTATTTCAAAGTTATAATACAAAACTAATATCCACTCCTCCAATGCAAAACTAATATGTGTGTGAAGAATTAAGTAGACAATCATAAATTTACAAGTTGTTTTAATTCACGACCCTCTATGGTCAAATATATCATTTCACATCTCGTATGACTCACACACCATCAAACTTATTATCTTTACTCTTTTCAGTGTGTAATCTAAGGTTGAATTTTTTATTACTATCATCGCCCTCTTTAGTTAAGTTGGACCCTACTAATTACAAGTCAACACATCAAGTTTTCTCAAATAAATGTTTGGGGTTTAACGAGGGTATTTGGTGCCTTTTTTGTTTCATGCACTTGCTTTTTTTTTTGAATTTTCATTTTTTTGCACTTTCTCCCCTTTGAACTTTCTATATGACCTATGTAAAGAGCTTTTGGTCAATGACTTTCAAATCAGATGATTTTAGGGCACCAGGTTATAAATACCGACAGACTTAATAACTTGAGTTATAAAGGTTACAAAGAGATGCCTTTTATATATTTTTTTAACCCTAATTAGTGCATTACCCCTTATTAAATACATATCTAATCAAATCAACCTTTAATTTAATACTTCTGCCCAATTTTATCCTATTAATCTAAAATAATCTACACATGAGTTTCCACACATGAAATCCCAGTTTACATTCGTATCTTTCTGCAACAGTAAAATCACCCTCAAACTTGCAAAATTTGGTCTAAGGATCATTAATTTATAATAGTTTTAGATATAGTATCTATGTTCGGTCTATTAACCTATGTTACCTCTCCAGCATATGAATATAATCAATATCAAATCTCAAATACAATCATCATCATTGTAAGCTAGGTTATCTAACTTACACAAGCACGCAACCTACAAAAAGAATATATAAATTTTTTCAGAATTTTCGATTTTTCTATTATATACTAAAGCGATAACTAAAAATAAACACACAAACACACAAAAAGTAAAAAATCAAAGTTTCTACCACCCCTAAACTTAAAACCAACATTATCCCCAATGCCATAAAATATAAGTAAGAATATAAGGGGATGAGGAAGAAAATGAAGAAGGTACTCCCCTAGTTTTTCTGTTGAATGTATGAGGAGTTATTTGTCGATAACACAGCATGTACTTTGCTAAACTCATTCCGAAGTCAATATCCATGGTGTCTATTAAGTAGGAAAGAAAACAATCGAAAGAATAAAAGAAAAACTCATTTGGACTCAATTGATGTTTTCATTTAACTAAACTAAGTGTCAATGATGGAGATGACCCACAAACTGAATTAAAACATGCATATATAACTAATTCAACCTATAAATCAA